TTTTTTTGGTTTTTCTCCGGTACCAGGAACCGAACTCACGACCTTGCGCTTGCCAGGCAGGCGCTTTGCCGCTGAGCTAAATCCCCAGCCCCCCGACCTGCATTTTGAAGGACAGCTTTGCACTACGTAGACCTGGCAGGTGGTGGAGCTCACCTATTTTTCTGAGACCACACTCATGAACTCTTCAGGGCCTTCTCACCAGCTTGCAGAGGCACAGCAAACTCTGGTTTCGTTACAAAGTCCAGAGCCCATGGAAATTTGATAGTTCATTTTCTGCTTCTGTGTGCTGAGGTGCCATCAACCTTCCGAACTCACTGCACACATTTGCTTTGCAAGGCACTCTCCTCTTCAGGAGACATTTGTCCCCCCAGGCTAAAACCCACACAGCCTACTCTCTGTGGGCTCATCTGCCACCATCTATCTCTTCAGGTCTCTCAGGCAGGAACCAGATTCGATTCCCAATAGCCTCTTAGGTTTGGTCTCTTCAAAGGTCCTGGAAACTCTCTTCTCTTAATTTGGAGTAAAGAAAGAAGCATTTCTACACCTTTGTCAATAGCAATGATCTATTTAATGAAATCCTCATCATGAATTCTTTTCCAAGCAACTTTACCTTTCATTTGTTTGAGTTAAGGAAAGGTTCTAAGCTTTCTTTAGATTCTTTTGAAACTTCTTTAAAATTCCTGCCTCACAACTCAGCTAATTTCCTGAACTTTATTATCTTTGAGTCTTGATTTAAACTTCTGATTTAATATCCTGTTGCTTAAGACCAGATTAGAACAGAATGTAATAGTCTGGACTAGAACAGAACTGAAAAAAAAAATGTGAAAAAGAAGTCTGGAGTAGAACAGAACTAAAAAAGATCAGAACTGAATTAAAAGAAAGGAATAAAAATATTTAGTAGGTTAAATGATTCTCAAAATTTCTGAGAGAACTTTTTACAGCCAGTAGACTACATTAATGTCTACAGACCAACAAATACTTTTATTTTTAGTGGACAAAGAGCTCAGCAGTAACGAAAGAGTAGAAAAATAAAATGGTAACCATGTAGCAATTACAAAAAAATAAATTCCAAATGATCCAAGAGTATTTCTGTATATGCAATTAGAAAAGCAGTAATTAATTATTAAGAATAACTTGAGATAAGAATTTTGCAGCATTGAAAATGTGTCTTTCTTCAAACTGTAACGTCCCAGTTGTTTTCAAGGGTACATGAAACGATATTGCCAAACAATGTTATGGCAGCTAATAGCTTAGGAAGATACTGAGTTAGAGTCCTCAATAAGCCCAAATCAAGTTACTTTTAGTTAGTTAAACTTCAGTTGTAGAAGCCTTTACAATTAACTTTAGTAGTACCACTGCTAAGTTACTGTCTTAGTTACTTTTCTTGTTGCTGAGACAAATTATCCAACACCCAATGTTAATGGAAGAAAGGTTTATTTAGCGATACCATTTGTAGAAGCTTCAGTTCATAGCTGGCTGGCTCCAAGGCTGGTGGCAAAGTACAGGGTCATCACGGAGGAGAAACAGCTCATCGCAGGCAGAATGCAGTGAAGCAGCAAAATAACAAACCAGCAAAGAAGCAGCAGCAGCCTTCTTACTGTCTCCTATATTCCATTCAGGTTACCCACCCTTAGGGTATCCAGCCTTGGGGCAGCTAACACTCATACCTAGGGTAGGGCATCCTCAATCCCAGCATCACACACTTCATCCCAGAATCACACAATTTAATCCCAGCGTCACATACCCTAGAACCAACCAGATCTGAAAAGCTCAGCTGTGATCACACAGGCTTTGCATTGGGGGGTGGGGGGAGTTCTCAATACAAACTGTAAGAGTCATTCTTCATCTTTCATTTATCTTTTTTGTACAATAAGAAATAAATTTTTTTATTTTAAAGAAAGAAGAATATTACTCACTATAAAAAGATAAACTCATCTTTCATTTAAAAAGTCACATTATTTTGAAATATTCTTCCAGAAAAGAAGTTATTTCTGTTGTTTAATAATTTAACAATCATTTTAGAGGATCATAGCTGAAGGGTGGTCTATGTCAAAGTCCTTAAGAAATATCTGGATAGTCCATGGTTCCAGATATTTTTTAACCATGGGTAGCTTTTGTGTCTGGTCAAACCTATGGCCTTCTTTTCAAAATAAAATTCACAAATAAAATATGTATGATTGTCAAGGATTATACTAATATTAAAATACAATTAAGTAAACCTAGCAATATGGTAATAAATGTGCTTCTTTGTTAATGCTTTAACTAACAGATTTAACAACGTCTGTTACCTCTCTGCAATTCTGAAGTAATAATGATATCAGATGTTACTTCAAGATCTCCCCTCTAAATATATGTTATGGTTTAGGTCTATGTTATGGTTTGTGTCTGAGTGCCCCCCAAAGCCTCATGCAGTCATGGGGCGGGCTCCTAGAGTTCATGATTGATTCAGGGTCCACTGTTGGAATTATGGATGTAAATGCTACACCCGCCCTGGGGTGGATAGTTTGCATACAATGTAAGGGAGGGAAAGAGGCTGCTTGCCACCACTCCTCCCCTAGTGTTCTTGTTGCTTTCACTGTCTTCTGCCGCCATGAACTGTTGCCCTGTGCCATATGCCACTCTGCCTTGGAGCCAGCCAAGTGTGGACTGAAATCTCCACACACTGTGAGCTAAAGAAATCTTTCCTTCCTTAATTTTGGGTGTCAGGTATTTTGTCCCAGGAATGAGAGAAAAGTAACCAAGACGTCTAATAGTCTCCCAGAAAGCCTCATGTGTGCGGAAGGTGACTGGGTCATAGGAACTGTATGCTCATCAGTGGATTCATCCACTGGTGGTTTAATAGCTGAAGGTGCTGTTAGGAGGGAAGCGGGGCTTAGTGTGTGCTGGGTCCCTGGAGGTATGACCTGGAAGGGTATATTCTGGTCCCCAGCTCCTCCCTTCTCTCTCTCTGCTTCCTGGTCACCATGGGATGAGCAGTGGTTCTCTGCCCACCCCTTTCCACCGTGCTGTTTCTGCCTTGGAGCCAGCAGAGCAGGGACTGAAAGTGTAAGCCAAACTAAACCGCTCTTCTTCTAAGTTATGAATGTCAGGTATTATGTCTCAGTGGTGGAAAGTGACTAACACAATATGTTATGAGAATATCTATGATTTCTACTGATGCCAGACCAGTCCACCAGACATACTAGTGTGTATTCTTACCCACAAATAAAAGATATGCTACATTTCAATTAAAAGGCAGTAAAAATCAACTTTCTCCAAGTATAAAAACCCCATATATTACTCTGAATTAAAACTTATGTTCATTTTCAGGCAAGAACCAGACTCAGAAGAAGCAAGTGTTTTCTTTCACCACAATAGATAACCTGAAGTCAAAGCAACTGACTTTCAGTTCACTAGTACTTCAGCAAGAGCAGCAAGAAGATCTTGGAATTTCATTTTACTGCAGTGATTTGCAAAGCTACCTGTAGGAAGCTACTTCTTAGGAATGACAACAAAATTGTTCCAGGGGTGCTCAGAGCAGCATGTTTGCCAACCAGGAAAGAGGGGGTGCAGTAGGAGCCCTCCTACCAATCTGTTCATCTCCAAGACT